GTATGTATGTATGTATGTATGTGTGTGTGTGTGTATGTGTGTGTATGTATGTATGTATGTATGTATGTATGTATGTATGTATGTGTGTGTGTGTATGTGTGCAGAAGGCGCCAATCACCACGACGACGCTACAATGACACACTAATGTTAAAATCAATACTCCTCGTGACGATGACTTAAATAGGCGAGAAAAATAGGTAATAGGTCGAGTTAACACTGAGAGAAGAAAATACAACATAAAATAGGGAGAGATTATGATATGCAAATTGGGTCAATTTCATTTATCCCAATTTAATCCACGAAACTGGGGAAAATAGGACAAAATAGGGAATTTAGTTGAGTCTAACATACGGGAATGGGGAAAAATATAATACAGGACAAATTTAACGACGAATTGGGGAAACATAGGAAAATAGGTCCAACTTAAGGCATGGGAAAAGAGGAAATTTTGGAAACAGGTCGAATTTTAACGCGGAATAGAGAGAAATGTGGGAAATTGGTAGTTAGGTTAGGTTAGGTTAAGAATGGGTGAATCAGTTGAACATAAGTCTTAGTTGTAGTGAGGGTTGCTTGCGACACTTCAGTTCTATTTCCACCTCAGGAATTCTGCCATAAAAATATGTTCTAAAAGGCGTTAACTCAGCCCTGGGAACGGTGGAGGCGTGGAGGGTGGAGGTGTTGGGTTTGTTGTTACTTCAATACTGTGTTGTGTAGTACGGCTCGTGTCTGTCCTGTGTGTGTGTCTGTCCCGTGTGTGTGTGTGTGTCTGTCTAGTGTGTGTGTGTGTGTGTCTGTTCAGTGTGTGTGTGTCTGTCCAGTGTGTGTGTCTGTCCTGTGTGTGTGTGTGTGTGTGTGTCTGTCTAGTGTGTGTGTGTCTGTCCTGTGTGTGTGTCTGTCCCGTGTGTGTGTGTGTGTCTGTCTAGTGTGTGTGTGTGTGTGTGTCTGTCTAGTGTGTGTGTGTGTCTGTCCCGTGTGTGTGTGTCTGTCTAGTGTGTGCGTGTGTCTGTCCAGTGTGTGTGTCCAGTGTCTGTCTCCTGTGTGACTGACTGCCCTCCGTGTGCTTGTGTGTATTTCAGTGCCAGTGTTCAGCGTATCTGTCCTTCATGTGTGTATATACTGTATGTCTCTATGTCTCATGTGTCTGTCCTACATGTCTGCTCCCCCACGTCGTCAACTCACACACACACACACACACACACACACACACACTTGCTCACGTCGTCAACATATTTACATACACACACAGTATACCAAGTGCCTGTTAAACCTCCAGATTGATTCAGCAAGCCTCGTGTTGCCTCAGTGTGCATACTGAGTAAGTCATCAGTGTCTGTAAGCTGCCACCACCACCACCAGATAGCTCCTTGTACACCATGATGATGATGATGATGATGATGATGATGATGATGATGATGATGATGATAATAATAATAATAATAACAATAAAACAACAACCCAGTAAATGCAATACACTTAATAGAACCCAATCTTAATATAACCTGGTGTCAATAGAACCCAATCTTAATAGAACCCAGAGTTAATAGAATGCAATCATAATAGGACCCAACCATTCCTAATAGGTTCCCAGTCAGTCATAATTGAGTCATCCCTCGGAAAATCTGTTTTGTGTGTGTGTGTGTGTGTGTGTGTGTGTGTGTGTGTGTGTGTGTGTGTGTGTGTCAGTAGAGTAAGATACAAGAATCTTCACCGTAAATGGACAGCAGCACGTTCTCTTGTTCCTCAATTTTACTAGAAAATATTGACGTGTGAATCTCTAAGAATCCAAGTTCGAATCTCTGAGAATCTGAGTCCCGGGCGAGGCAGTGACAGTGACAGTGACAGTGGCAGTGAGCACCTACCTACCTACCCACCCGGATGGTCGGTCGCTCGCCCTGCCTCACCGCCTCAGTGCCGCTCTAGCCGTCGTGGGGTGACGTTGTGTCGCCTAGTCTCGTCCCTCACCGTGGGCGCTCACCACCACCCCTGACAACCCACGACACCTTCAACCACACAGAAAAAAAAAAACAACCATCACAGGAAAGAAAAATAACCTGTTAATAAAACACTCATCTACCTGTATCATTAAAAAAATTTTTTTTAGACATTTAATTAACTTGGATCGGATGAGATCTCACAACAGAAACAGAAATGAGTGAAACTAGAAACAAAATTATATTAAAAACAACCATCTACCTGTGTCATTAAGGTTAGATGAGACTTGATTAATGTTGAAGCGAGACGGAAAATATTGAGTCAGTGAGTGTAATATTTCTTCCAACTGTGACTGACCTCCACCAGAGTGTTGTTGACAGAATATACTTAAGTGTTACAAGTTCTGGTGACCTCTGACCCTTGCTGGAGTGTCAAGAGAGGCCAAGAGTGCCACGGGGTCGACCAGCACGTGTACGGCAGTGCCTAGGGGGGGGTAGGGTGTGTAGTGCCACTCAGAGGGTAAGTAAGAGGCAGTTACCTGGCTCTCCCTTTGGTTTACAATGAATATTTACTTAAGCTTATAAAAGTTGTTCTAATTTAACATAATCAAGCTTAACTAACCCTAACTTTGCCTAACCTAATCTAAACGAATCAAAGTTAACCTAATCTAATCTAACCTAACCCGATATTACCTCCCATTGCCTAATCTAACTAAAATATACCCAATCTAATCCAACTTAGCCTAATCTAACCACTGACTGTTCCTGCCTGTGTGTATCGGGCAGTCAATCTAACCAATTCTCAAACATCAGAATACCATGATAGACAGACAGATAGACAGACAGACAGACAGACAGACAGACAGACAGACAGACAGACAGACAGACAGACTAAAGAATCCACAATGATGCTGTGATCTCTCAAGGCTGGGTCTCTCACCGCTACCAGAGTCAACAGTATTCCTAGGAGGCTGGACTTTATCTCAACATACAGGGAATATAGCATACAACTTACTGTATAATCTCTAAACTTCCACTGCTGTTTGTAGTTCAAGTTTATCAATCATAGTTCAAGCTTATCAATCATAGTTTAAGCTTATCAATCATAGTTCAAGCTTATCACTCATAGTTCAAGCTTATCAATCATAGTTTAAGCTTATCAATCATAGTTCAAGCTTATCAATCATAGTTTAAGCTTATTCTACCTCTCCCTCGAATCATTGTCTCGTTCTCTTGTCTACTTGGCCTTTTCCCATCTACCCTTCATATTATACAGTGAAACCTCTATTTAACGGATTGTATAGAGAAAAGTCCGTTACATCGAGGGTCCGTTAGATATGAAACCTCCATCTAACGGACTGTATGGAGAGAAATCCGTTATTTCGAGGGTCCGTTAGATGTGGAACCTCCATCTAACGGACTGAATGGGGAGAGAAGTCCGTTATATCGAGGGTCCGTTTGATATGAAACCTCCATCTAACGGACTGTATGGAGAGAAATCCGTTATTTCGAGGGTCCGTTAGATGTGAAACCTACATCTAACGGACTGTATGGAGAAAGAAATCCGTTATTTCGAGGGTCCGTTAGATGTGAAACCTCCATCTAACGGACTGTATGGAGAGAGAAGTACGTTATATCAAGGGTCCGTTAGATGTGAAACCCCCACCTAACGGACTGTATGGAGAGAGAAGTCCGTTATATGGAGGTTTCACTTGTATGTTCAAACTTGAGTATAGTGTAGAAGGCGAGGCCGTAGCTGCAGGGTCATCCCCCCCCCCCTCCTCTTACCTCCTCTATTGAAACAAGAGGGCCGCTAGGGGTTGTGACAACCTCTCTCTTTTGTTTCATTGAGAGCCAAAAGGGAGGACACACACACACACACACACACACACACACACACACACACACACACACACACACACACACACACACACACACACCTTCATTTACAACGGCGATGAGACGAACAAAACGACAATACCGATGACAATACCGACAATACCGATGATAAAACCGACAATACCGACGACAAAAAACGACAATACCGATGACAAAAAACGACAGTACCGACGACAAAAACGACACTTTATACACCAAGATCCACGCACTTACATCAAATTACACCCAAACTTGGCAACCTATACTCTCTGGTCTAATGATGAGTTCCTAACATAACACACATCACGCCCTCGCCAGCAGAATTTGACAAGGTGCGACACTCACCACCCTCCCCTGGTCTCCCTCTCTCTCTCACCTACCCCCTTCCTCATCTGCCTTCCCCCATCACCTCTCTCCCTCCCCCATCACCACCCCTCCCTGGTCTCCTCTCTCCTCACCTGCCCCTTCCTCATCTGCTTCTCCCCATCACCTCTCCCTCCGCCATCACCTGCCTCCCTGGTCCCTCTCTCTCTCTCACCTGCTCCCCCTTCCTCATCTGCCTTCCTCCTCCCCATCACCTCTCTCCTCCCCATCACCTGCCTCCCTGGTCTCCCTCTCTCTCTCACCTGCCCCCTTCCTCATCTGCTTTCCTCCCCCATCACCTCTCTCCCTCCCCCATCACCTGCCTCCCCTGGTCTCCCTCCCTCATCTGCCCTCCTACCCCTTCACCTGCCCTCCTCCCTCACCTCTACCTCCCACCTGCCTCCCCTATTCCCTCTCTCTCTCACCTGCCCCTTCCTCATCTGCTTTCCTCCCCCATCACTCTCCCCCCATCACTCCGCCTACCCTGGTCTCCCTCATCTCCTACCCCTTCACCCGTCTCTCCCTCACCTTCCTGGTCCTCTCCTCACCTGGGTTCTCTCACCTACCCCCCCCTCTCCCTCATCTGCCTCCTTCCCCTCACCTGCCAGACCAACATTCACCTGGACGACATGTATTGATCACCTACAACACAACATTGACGACGATGGCTGCTCCCAAATAACAATTATGCAACACAAGATATTTATTGTTCCTTTGTTAAATATAAATTATCGTCAGACTATTCTACTCATACCTTGTTACCCTGGGTTAGGTTAGGTTAGGTTAGGTTAAGACAGGTCATCTACCTTGTTACCCTGGGAAAACAGTTAAAACGGGAAAAATATAAAAAGCCACATTTTCCGGTTCATTCAACCATTGTGTGTTGGGAGTTGTGTAGCCTCCAGTGGCGGCAGGTACTGTGTGTGTGTGTGTGTGTGTGTGTGTGTGTGTGTGTGTGTGTGTGTGTGTGTGTGTGTGTGTGTGTGTTAGAGAGAGAAATATATCACCCCATTCCCCCATCCCACCCAATCCACAATACCCACCCACCCACCAACCACCCACACGTTCATCACTACCTCCGCTACGCCGCCGTGTCATCGCTGGCAGCTCTTACACTTAAAAAAAAAAAAACTTAATGAGTATTGAGGCGAGAAAAACCCCAACATAATTTGATTAGCTCGAAAAAGAAAACTACTTCGTTAAGTTCTGTATTTTTTTGCTCCACCTGGATATCTCAATGACGAGGTAGGCTAATTAGAGTCCAGGTGTTGATGGGGCTAATTAGAGTTCAGGTGTAGATACGTTTAAAGGTAGAGGGTGAATTATGGTTATGTGTATTGGTGAGGTAGTAATGTGTTTGATATACTGTACAGGTGAAGAGTTAAATGAGTCATGCGGTACAGGGAAATACAACACGTGATATTTCTATACAGGGTGATCGAACAGTCCCTGTGCACCTTCAACCATTAAAATATAGCTATATACCTTGTTATACCGGCATTGTTATATACCTTGTTATACCGGCATTGTTATATACCTTGTTATACCGGCATTGTTATATACCTTGTTATACCGGCATTAAGTATATACCTTTTGTTATACTGGCATTGTTATATACCTTGTTATACCGGCATTGTTATATACCTTGTTATACCGGCATTGTTATATACCTTGTTATACCGGCATTGTTATATACCTTGTTATACCGGCATTGTTATATACCTTGTTATACCGGCATTGTTATATACCTTGTTATACCGGCATTGTTATATACCTTGTTATAATGGCATTGTTATATACCTTGTTATACCGGCATTGTTATATACCTTGTTATAATGGCATTGGTTATATACCTTGTTATACGGCATTGCTATACCTTGTTATACCGGCATTGCTATATACCTTGTTATACCGGCATTTGTTATATACCTTGTTATACCGGAGCTGTTATATACCTTGTTATACCGGCATTGTTATACCTTGGTTATACCGGCATTGTTATATACCTGTTATACCGGCATTGTTATATACCTTGTTATACCGGCATTGTTATATACCTTGTTATACCGGTATTGCTATATACCTTGTTATACCGGCATTGTTATATACCTTGTTATACCGGCATTGCTATATATCTTGTTATACCGGCATTGTTATATACCTTGTTATACCGGCATTGTTATATACCTTGTTATACCGGCATTGTTATATACCTTGTTATACCGGCATTGTTATATACCTTGTTATACCGGCATTGTTATATACCTTGTTATACCGGCATTGTTATATACCTTGTTATACCGGCATTGTTATATACCTTGTTATACCGGCATTGTTATATATCGTCGTCAAAGGGTTTAACCAAACCATCGTCGTCATAGGGTTAAAACTCGTGTTTTTGGAGAGAGAGAGAGAGAGAGAGAGAGAGAGAGAGAGAGAGAGAGAGAGAGAGAGAGAGAGAGAGAGAGAGAGAGAGAGTCTTAGAAAAAGTTGTTAAAAAAACTCAATGACTTACTTTATTTGTTTCGAGCAATATGACGCCATTGCTTACCTATGCCGCCATATTGTTTTTGATTACAGCTACGCCATCTGTTTGTGTTATAACCTTCTCAGTGGTTCTTTGAAAAGGTTAATTAAATAACACAAGCAACAATAACCATACCTATATCAGTTCACCGTTCACACTCCATTGCCAACATGCATACGGTGATAATTCTATTTAGCGGACTGTATGGAGATGAAAGTCCGTTATATAAAGGGTCGGTAAGATGTGAAACCTCTATTTAACGGACTATATGGAGAGGAAAGTCCGTTATATCGAAGATCCGTTAGATGTTATACCTCCCTCTATCTAACGGACTATATGAAGAGAAGCCCGTTATATAGAGGGTCCATTACATATAAAACCTCTATTTAACGGACTATATGTAGAGAGAAGCCCGTTATATTGAGGGTCATTTATATATGAAACCTCTATTTAACGGACTAAAGAAGAGAAGCCCGTTATATAGAGGGTCCATTACATATGAAACCTCTATTTAACGTACTATATGTAGAGAGAAGCCCGTTATATAGAGGGTCCATTTTATATATGCAGTTCCCTATCTAACGGACTATATGAAGAGAAGCCCGTTATATAGAGGGTCCATTACATATAAAACCTCTATTTAACGGACTATATGTAGAGAGAAGCCCGTTATATTGAGGGTCATTTATATATGAAACCTCTATTTAACGGACTAAAGAAGAGAAGCCCGTTATATAGAGGGTCCATTACATATGAAACCTCTATTTAACGTACTATATGTAGAGAGAAGCCCGTTATATAGAGGGTCCATTACATATGAAACCTCTATTTAACGGACTATATGTAGAGAGAAGCCCGTTATATTGAGGGTCCATTAGATATAAAACCTCTATTTAACGGTCTATATGGAGAGATAAGACCGTTATATTGAGGGTCATTTATATATAAAACCTCTATTTAACGGACTATATGAAGAGAAGTCGGTTATATAGAGGGTCCATTATACTGTATATAAAACCTCTATTTAACGGACTACATTGAGAGATAAGACCGTTATACAGAGGGTCCATCAGATATAAAACCTCTATTTAACGGACTATATGGAGAGAGAAGTCCGTTATATGGAGGTTTTCACTATACACCAACTCCCTTCCCTTAATCTATATATTTACCCAATGAATAACTTGATGTTTTAGATATAAGATACATTCCATTTTCAACTATATACATTTTTTTTTAACCCTCGCTTCACTTTGTCAGCTGCCACAAACAAACATTTCCGATGCATGTAAAAGTTTCAATCCATTTGCGTGTGTGTCTGTCTGTCTGTCTGGCCGGGAAATGTCTCTTCTTTTAGACGTGTTCACTGCGGTGTGAGGAAATGTTTGTGCAGTTATTCCCGAGAGCAAGTTTTTATGTGTTATCATCCTTAAGTTCATCTCAACTATACCTAATCTAACCCTACCCGTCTTATCTTTAACCTAACCTAACCCTATCCATCCCATCTTTAACCCAACTTACCCTAACCTAACCCAACCTAACCCATCCCACCTAAACCTAACCTAAACTAACCATACCAAATACACATCTCTTCCCTAAAATATTATACATATCAATGAACGTAAACTAGACGGCCAATTATAGTTAGAGAGGATAAAAAAATATAACTGGAACACAGCTGAAATATTACACATTACACACACACACACACACACAAACACAAACAAACCCACACACACACTATTAAAAAGACATAAACAGATTATTTGTTTAATTACCAAATGCAGTTACCGGCGCGCGAGTATAACAATTATAATAAAACTCACGAAATATATATATATATATATAATTTTTTACCCCAGCACAATCACCATGTCGAGTTATATTTCATTAAAGTCTATTTTAGTTGTAGGACTCAATTTGTATTCGTTGTCACACACATTGTGTGTGTGTGTGTGTGTGTGTGTGTGTGTGTGTGTGTGTGTGTGTGTGTGTGTGTGTGTGTGTGTGTGTGTGTGTGTGTGTGTGTGTGTGTGTGTGTGTGTGTGTGTGTGTGTGTGTGTGTGTAAAAGGGACACAGCTAACATAAGTCGACATCTCTCTTCTATACCTATCTACCCATCCATCACTCTACCTAAGTGCCCCACCTTCGGCAAGAGAGAGAGAGAGAGAGAGAGAGAGAGAGAGAGAGAGAGAGAGAGAGAGAGAGAGAGAGAGGAGAGAGAGAGAGAGAGAGAGAGAGAGAGAGAGAGAGAGACTCCCTCATACTAAATAAAGACCATGCAAGCCTCTTAGTGGGCCCCAGGACGCTCTCACACCCAACACAGGTTTTCCGCTAAGCTGATTTTAAGTTGGTAAGTGAAATCACATTTTATACGTATAAGGACGGTTGTAGGCGGCGGCCATTTGATAGAAGTGAGCTGTTTGTTCGTTGTTGTTATTATTATTATTACTGTTGTTGTTGCTGTTGTTTTGGTAGGGAGACTTTAACTAGTTGGGTATTTTAATGTTTAGTTTAATGTGGGCAGAGAAACAGTGAAACATGGACAGGGGAACACTAAAACATGGACAAATGAACATTGAAACGTGGACAGAAGAACACTGAAACATGAACAGAGGAACACTGAAACATGGACAGAGGAACACTAAAACATGGACAGAGGAACACTAAAACATGGACAGAGGAACACTAAAACATGGACAGAGGAACACTGAAACGTGGACAGAGGAACACTGAAACATGAACAGATGAACACTGAAACAGACGTGTATAGGAAACTGAGATTCCATTACACTCGACAATAACAGACCGCCATCATAACAATGAATTTTCACATCCACCTGAGGCCAATTACTGATGTTTATTCACAGCAAACAGCAGTTGGTGACATACACAGCGGAAAATAATATCAAGAGCTTTTCCTGGAATTTACAGCAGATATATCGACGTTTTACAGCAGGCAATAATATTAACAGCGCTCTCTGTATATCTCGTATTTACAGCACTTTCTCACACAGGTGCTTAGTGAAGTATACATACATACATACATACATACATACATACATACTCTGTACATACACACACAGGTGGTTAATAAAGTATGCTACATACATACATACATACTCTGTACATACATACATGCATACATGCATACATACATACATGCATATATACATACATACATACACATATACATACATACATACACATATACATACATACGCAGGTAGTTAATGAAGTATACTACATATATACACATACATACACAGGTAGTTAATGAGGTATACTACATACATACATGCATTCATACATACAGACATACATACCTATATACATACACAGCCAGTTAATGAAGTATACATACAAACATACATACACGATCTCAGTAACGTAAATGATAGCCACCAACACAGCCGCAAAAAACCAGCAGTAGCAGGAACAGGAGCAAGAAGTATCAACAGCAGCAGTAGCGGGAACAGGAGCAAGAAGTATCAACAGCAGCAGTAGCGGGAACAGGAGCAAGAAGTATCAACAGCAGCAGTAGCGGGAACAGGTAGCAAGAAGTATCAACAGCAGCAGTAGCAGGAACAGGAGCAAGAAGTATCAACAGCAGCAGTAGCAGGAACAGGAGCAAGAAGTATCAACAGCAGCAGGCAGGAACAGGAGCAAGAAGCATCAACAGCAGCAGTAGGGAACAGGAGCAAGAAGTATCAACAGCAGCAGAAGGGAACAGGAGCAAGAAGTATCAACAGCAGCAGAAGAGGAACAGGAGCAAGAAGATCAACAGCAGCAGTAGGGAACAGGAGCAAAAGTATCAACAGCAGCAGTAGCGGGAACAGGAGCAAGAAGTATCAACAGCAGCAGAAGGGAACAGGAGCAAGAAGTATCAACAGCAGCAGTACTGGGAACAGGAGCAAGAAGTATCAACAGCAGCAGAAGAAAGAACAGAGAAGGAACAGGACAAGAAGTATCAACAGCAGTAGCAGGAACAGGAGCAAGAAGTATCAACACAGCAGTAGGGAACAGGAGCAAGAAGTATCAACAGCAGCAGAAAGGGAACAGGACAAGAAGTATCAACAGCAGCAGAAGGGAACAGGAGAAGTATCAACAGCAGCAGTAGGGAACAGGAGCAAGAAGTATCAACAGCAGCAGTAGGGAACAGAGCAAGAAGACAACAGCAGCAGTACTGGGAACAGGAGCAAGAAGTATCAACAGCAGCAGAGGAACAGGACAAGAAGTATCAACAGCAGCAGGAAGGGAACAGGAGCAAGAAGTATCAACAGCAGCAGTAGCAGGAACAGAGCAAGAAGTATCAACAGCAGCAGTAGCAGGAACAGGAGCAAGAAGAATCAACAGCAGCAGTAGGAACAGGAGCAAGAAGTATCAACAGCAGCAGAAGGGGAACAGGAGCAAGAAGTATCAACAGCAGCAGTACAGGAACAGGAGCAAGAAGCATCAACAGCAGCAGTACCGGGAACAGGACAAGAAGTATCAACAGCAGCAGAAGGGAACAGGAGCAAGAAGTATCAACAGCAGCAGAAGGAACAGACAAGAAGACAACAGCAGCAGAAGGGAACAGGAGCAAGAAGTATCAACAGCAGCAGTGGAACAGGAGCAAGAAGATCAACAGCAGCAGAAGGAACAGGAGCAAGAAGATCAACAGCAGCAGAAGGGAACAGGAGCAAGAAGTATCAACAGCAGCAGAAGGAACAGGAGCAAGAAGTATCAACAGCAGCAGTAGTGAACAGGAGCAAGAAGTATCAACAGCAGCAGAAGGGAACAGGAGCAAGAAGTATCAACAGCAGCACTGGGAACAGGAGCAAGAAGTATCAACAGCAGCAGTACCGGGAACAGAGCAAGAAGTATCAACAGCAGCAGAGGGAACAGGAGCAAGAAGTATCAACAGCAGCAGAGAGGAACAGGAGCAAGAAGTATCACAGCAGCAGTACGGGAACAGGAGCAAGAAGTATCAACACCAGCAGTACGGGAACAGGGCAAGAAGTATCAACAGGCAGTAGGGAACAGAGAAGAAGTATCAACAGCAGCAGTAGCAGGAACCGGAGCAAGAAGTATCAACAGCAGCAGTACGGAACAGGAGCAAGAAGTATCACAGCAGCAGTAGCAGGAACAGGAGCAAGAAGTATCAACAGCAGCAGTACCGGGAACAGGAGCAAGAAGTATCAACAGCAGCAGTACCGGGAACAGGAGCAAGAAGTATCAACAGCAGCAGTACCGGGAACAGGAGCAAGAAGTATCAACAGCAGCAGTAGCGGGAACAGAGCAAGAAGTATCAACAGCAGCAGTAGCAGGAACAGGAGCAAGAAGTATCAACAGCAGCAGTAGCAGAACAGGAGCAAGAAGTATCAACAGCAGCAGTAGCAGGAACAGGAGCAAGAAGTATCAACAGCAGCAGTACCGGGAACAGGAGCAAGAAGTATCAACAGCAGCAGTACCGGGAACAGGAGCAAGAAGTATCAACAGCAGCAGTAGCAGATACAAGCAGTATCATCAGCAGGAAGCAGCAGTAGCAGGTAGAAGCAATATCATCAAGAGGAACAAGGAGTATCATCAGCAGAAAGAAACAAGAACAATAGCAGGAACAAGCAACAGCAGGAATAAGCAGCAGCAGGAAGAAGCAGCAGCAGGAAGAAGCAGTATCATCAAGAGGAATAAGCAGTATCATCAGCAGGAAGAAGCAAGAACAATAGCAGGAACAAGCAACAGCAGGAATAAGCAGTATCATCAGCAGGAAGAAACAAGAACAATAGCAGGAAGAGCAGTATCAGCAGCACAATCATAAGAACAATTACAGTAATATTGGCCGCAGCATTAACAGCAGTTGAGTAATATGAACGGGGGAATATCGGGCCAGATATTACTAATTACTGTATAGTGTACGATCGATGGTGTAGTGAGAGAGAGAGAGAGAGAGAGAGAGAGAGAGAGAGAGAGAGAGCTATACACGTACAGGTAGATACAGGTAGGTACAGATACAAGTACAGGTAAATACAGGTACAGATGCAACTACAGGTGAATACAGGTACAGGTAGTTAGATACAGGTACAGATAGATACAGGTACAGATACAGGTATAGGCAGATACAGGTACAAAAAGAAACTGCCATAAATTATCTGTATTTAATGTAAGACAGAACACGAGCATTATACAGTATATGGGAAGGCCTGACCCGAACTAACACCTTCACTCACCTGTCCTCTCTCTCTCTCTCTCTCTCTCTCTCTCTCTCTCTCTCTCTCTCTTTTTCACCTAACGTAACCTTATCTAACCTATAATCGTCTCCTCGCTATAATATACAAAACAATTTTACAATACTATAATTAAGCTTCACATCCAGCCGTCAGTTCATCATCAACACAGATTAATGACTCTGATTACCTCCCACCAAAGCTTGAAAAGTTAAAGCTGAAAAGTACAATAAAATAGAAATGAAAATTATTTACACTTGAGCGACAGTTTAAAGTAATTTCAGATGACCTTTGTTGAATATAATACAATTTACTTTGGATTAATTGGGAACTTTAGGTTGAATAGCCTTCATCTTCTTGCTATTGTGTGGAGTGTGTGGGTGTAAGGGAAGAGGTGTGTGGGTGTAGGGGGAGAGGTGTGTGGGTGTAGGGGGAGAGGTGTGTGGTGTAGGGGAGAGGTGTGTGGGTGTAGGGGAAGTGTGTGTGTGGGTGTAGGGAGAGGTGTGTGTGGGTGTGGGGAGAGGGTGTGTGTGGGTGTAGGGGAGGTGTGTGGGTGTAGGGGGAGGTGTGTGGGCGTAGGGGGAGGGTGTGTGGGTGTAGGGGAGGTGTGTGGGCGTAGGGGCAGAGGTGGTGGGTGTAGGGAGAGGTGTGGGCGTGGGGAGGTGTGGGTGTAGGGAGAGGTGTGTGGGCGTAGGGGGAGAGGTGTGTGGGCGTAGGGAGAGGTGTGGGTGTAGGGGGAGAGGTGTGGGCGTAAAGGGAGAGGTGTGTGGGCATGCAAGGGCAGAGGTGTGTGGGTGTGGGGAGAGGTGTGTGGGTGTAGGAGGTGTGGGTGTAGGGGAGAGGTGTGTGGGTGTCAGGGAGGTGTGTGTGGGTGTAGGGGAGAGGTGTGTGGGTGTAGGGGAGGTGTGTGGGTGTAGGGAGGTGTGTGGGCGTGGGGGACAGAGGTGTGTGGGTGTAGGGGAGGTGTGTGGGTGTAGGGGAGAGGTGTGTGGGTGTAGGGAAGAGGTGTGTGGGTGTAGGGAGAGGTGTGTGGGTGTAGGGGAGAGGTGTGTGGGCGTAGGGCAGAGGTGTGTGGGTGGGGAGAGGTGTAGCGGGGTGTGTGTGTGTGTGGTGGGGAGGTGTGTAGGGTGGTAGCGGAGGAGGGAGAGGAGGGTAAGTAAGGTGAGAGGTGAGGGGGTGTAGAGGGAGGTGTGTAGGGTGAGTAGCGGAGGGGAGGGTAAGTAAGGTGTGAGGTGAGGGGGTGTAGAGGGAGGTGTGTAGGGGAGAGAGGAATAGTTTATTGTGCACCCCATACTCATCCTGTGAGCGGTAGAGCAAAAGATACACAGAGTTCACAAAGGGTCAGCATAACTAACCCCTGTGGTAAAAATATAATAGCATTGAACGTTACAGAGTATTTCAAATTCCTTCTTTGTTTACTTCTGTACATAAAGGGTAACTTATGTGTGTGTGCGGTGGGGGAGGTGTGAAGGGGAGGGGAGGGGGTGACTGGGAGGAAGGAATATTGTAGTAAAAGATTGAGTTATAGGGCGGACAAGGAAGAAAGGAAGGAAGGAAGGAAGGAAAGAAATGAAAGGAAAGAAAGAAAGAAGGAAATGAAGGAAGGAAATAATGAAGAAAGGAAATAATGAAGTTAGGAAGGAAGGAAGGAACTACCCCTACCTGTTATTTACTTCGGTAGAAAAATGCTAAACTTTTTGTGGAGTAAAAACTTTTATATTGAACCTTTCCTGTTGTACTGGTGAAGTAGTCCTCCCAGTCACCTCCACCAGTCACCTCCACAGTCCTCCACCCAGTCACCTCCATCAGTCACACTCCACAGTCACCTACACCAGTCACACTCACAGTCACCTCCACCAGTCACCAGCAGTCACCTCCACCAGTCACCCCCGCAGTCACCCCAGTCACTATCAGTCACCTCCCCAGTCCACCCCATAAGTCCACCCCCACCAGTCCACCTCCCCAGTCAATCCACCACCATAATCAGCCCAGTCCACCACACTTACATCCCAGTCACCCTATCCCCATCTCACTCACCCTTACCCCCATCAGTCACCCTTACCCCCCCCATCAGTCACCTACTCCCCATCCCAGTCACTATCCCATCCCACTCACCATACCCCCATCTAGTCCCACTATCCAGTCACCCCTACCCCATCATCAGTCACTATCCCATCCCACTCACCTTACATCCCAGTCACTATCCCATCAGTCACCTACTATCCCACTCACCCTTACTATCCCTCACCCCTACCCCATCAGTCACTATCCCCATCACCCTACCCCCATCCCTCACTATCCCATCCTCACCTACCCCCATCAGTCACCCCTATCCCCTACCCACCAAATAAAAAGTTTAAAATTCTTTGTGGATTAAATTCAAACTTTTAGATGGGAAATTCTATATACCTTTTCCAGCACAAGTGTCACCTGAGGGAAAAATATATAAAATAAAATAAAAATGGATAAAATAAAATAAAATAAAAATGAAATTCAAATACCCGTAAAAGTCAAATTTATTTCTATCATTTAAAAGAAAAAAAATTGTGAGGACTTTTTTTTATTTATATAATTTTTAAATACATGAATTGTAAGTTTATTGAAATCTGGGTCCATCTGTCTGTGTGTGTGTGTGTGTATCTCCCTGTTTGTCTGTCTCCCTGTCTGTCTGCTCTCATAGACAGCCTGACTAATTCTCCCTCAATATGTCTTTTTCTTTCTGTCTATCTCTCTCTTTATCTCTCTCTCTTGTTCTTCTTCCTCTCCGCCTCTCTATCCTCTTCCTCCAACTCTCCTCCATTTCTTCCTCTCCTCTTCCTCCAACTCTCCTCCATTTCTTCCTCTCCTCTTCCCCCCTCACTCTCTCACTCACCCTCAGATATGCTGACTGACTCTCTCTCTATCCAGGACCTTTAAATCGTCAGCCAATTATGTCTTGTGAAGGAGAGAGAGTCTTGGTTGTGAACGAGTGGAAGACGAGGAGAAGGAGGAGTGGTGGGGGGGAGGAGGAGGAGGAGGTGGAAGACGAGGAGAAGGAGTGGTGGGGGGGAGGAGGAGGAGGAGGAGGAGGAATGGAGGGTTGATAAGTAGGGGAAGGAGGAGGAGAGACTAAATGGAAGGGGGAGCAGGAAGAGATAAGATGGAAGGGCGATAAGGGTAGAGGGAGGAGGAAGAGAGAAAGGAGGAGAGGAGGGATAAGGAAGGACCAGAAATAGGGAGAGAAGGTGGATAAAGGATAAAGGTGGGAGGGAGAGAATACACACACAGCCTGGGGGATGGATGAATGGAGGGAGGGCTTGATGGAGATGTGGGTAGAGGGAGGGAGAGAAGCAGGGAGGGAGGCAGAGAGGGGTGTATGGAAGGAGGCAGGGAGGGGTAGAAGGAGGGAGGGAAGGACTGAAAGGAGAGAGGGAGGAGTAGAAGGAGGGAGGGAAGGACTGGGGAGCAGAGGGAGGGAGAAGTAGGAGGGAGGGAGGGGTGGAGGGCCAGGACTCACTAAAAGCTTTCTATAATCCGGGTTATTGTGCCTCTATACACCAGCTGGGTCTCACAATAACTGCCCACCTATTGTTGTACTTTGTTATTATCCCGGTAGTGGACGCTTGCTCTGGGTCATACAGGCTCCCTAAGCTTAAGAGCCCTAAGCTTAATAGACCTGAACTATGTTAACTCTAGGGCTTGGTACGGGTCAAACCCTAAGCTTAATCGAATCTAAGCTTAATAACATTTAAGCTTAGTAAACCTCAAGGTTAATAGATCCATAAGGTTAACAGGCCCAAAGTTTAATATGCCCCTGAGCTTAACAGACCCTTAAATATAATAGGTCTTAATAGGTCCTCATATTCCTCATTTTACCCATTAGTGTAGATAATAACGATTTTAATCAAATTTAAATAAAAATATCTCCATATAAACTTAAAATGTGTATAGTCGTCATTTTAACCCTTTGAAGAAGAGGATTATAAAGATTAATGAATATAGTCTGTTTATATGTCGGTCTGTCACATGTTGAAGCTCTCTTGTTTAATTTACATCAGAGGAAAAGATAAAAAAATGTTTGGAAGAATCAAATTTTTGTATCATTAATCATCATAAAACACTAATTACTTTTGTTATGGTAGTGTAGTTGAATATTTTATTTATTTATTTATTTAGTTATTTATTTATTTATTTATTACCAAAAAAGTAAACATTAATTATTCCTTCATTAAATGCTTATTTTTTTAAATAATTTAGATACAAATAATATCTACTTTTATTATATTTTAAATGATTTTGTTTATACAAAATTTTATTTTCTTAAAAAAAGTCATTATAAACATTTTCTATCAATAAATAAACTACTAGTAGAGTTTATATGTAATTGTGTTTATATACCCCACTATCACCTAACAACACACTCCACTATAAAAATAGTATCAATGTTTATAAAAAAAATTAAGTTTACATTGGGGAAGTTTTAAAAGACTCTGGTGAATCAGTTCATCTTCTCGGCAGCGAAAAGGAACAACCGGGAGTCATTACCACACTGACGCTACAATAATAATAATAATAATAATAATAATAATAATAATAATAATAATAATAATAATAG